CATGAAATATTTTGCATGGCTATTTTCCATCTATATTAAGGAGAGAAAAAAGACATCAATTTCAGGCACAGCAGAAAGGAAACAGGAAGAAAAGAGAAGATTTAGTGGGAGAAAGAGTAACAGAAACTGGGTTGGTAGTGGAGGTTCAGGAATTGTTTTTCCCTACGCAGTTTTAAAAGTGGAGTACATCTATTTGGATCGATTTTTAGGTAGAATCTAATTTGAGAGAGGAAATGAGCTAGATAACCTGTCCAAATGTTCCAACAGGATTACTATATAGATTTAGATAGCTTTTCTTTATCATTATGTTATAGCTATTTTATTCCTTTTTTAAATTCTTCCTTCTAGAACCGTCACATCTACTGAAATTGCACTTTTTCTGCTGCAACTTAAGGTGGGAGTTAGTTAGCAGTAGGTTTAATAGTTTGAGTCTGTCCTCTTATGCCTTATAGATATTCAGTTAACCTCATCAAGTTTTATATTGCAGCAGCATTGAAAATAGAGGGGAAACAAACCCGGTGTTGTACAGTGCAGTGTCAAGTTTTAGGGTTCTTGAATGCTTTGTCAGCAAAATGGAAATTCTGGCAAGCTGAAAATGTTCTCAGTACCACTCTAACTTCAGGTCATAACTGTGTTTGACAAAATTTCTCATGCTATCAGTCAAGACAGAGATGTAGGCTACAACAGGGCAGTCAAACTCCCCTTGCCAAGAGCCGGTGTGGCCTGAACCAAATTAAAATGTAATTGGGAGATGTTTAACAAAATAAATAAAAATACAATACAACATAGATAATATTGATTTGTGGTTTTTTAAAGTCAATATACAGTCCACATACATCTCTTTCTACTTCAATTTGACACCACTGGGCTAGAGGATAAAATAGGTAGTTTTTGAACTAGTTGAAGGATTGAACACAAAGATTGGTCATTAATGTTAACTTGGATAGTATGTCTAGTGGAATGGCCTAGGAATCTAAGGCCTTGTATTCTTAATTTTTACCAATGACTTGCAAAATGGCATGTTTGTTAACTCTGTAGATGATACCAAGTTTTGAGGGCTATTTAATACATGACTTACAGAGCCCAATTCCCATAAGATCTCAATAGGCCAGAAGGATACTCTTTGTCCAACGAGACAGCATTGAATAAGGATAAATGTAAAATTTTACATTAGGGGGTCAAAAAATCAATTCCACAAGTATAGAGGGTAGAACTTGTTACCAGACAACAGTTCCTATGAAAAAGATCTGGGGACCAAAAACTGGAAATTAAGAAGGTGACCATCAGTTGGAAGAATGAACGAATACATTAAGGTATATGAATGGAATGGAATTATGGTACCATAAAAAATGACAAAAGGAATGGCTTCAGAGAAACCTGAGAGCACTTGAGTGAACTGATGCAGAGTCAAAGAATCAGAATGGGGAAACAGTCCACATAATGATTTCAACAATACAAAAGAAAACAACTGTGAAAGACTGATGAGAAATAATATATCTTGGTAGACAGATGAATGTTGAGATGAATTTTCAGATACTTTCAGTACATGCAGGGATTTGTTTCAATTGCCAATACTTATTAAAAGGGAAGGATTTTCTTTTCTTTGAAAGGCAGAGAATTGTGGGAAAATGGAGGGAATAATGATAATGATAAAAAAGAAGAAAAGAGCATTAATTAAAATTAAATATTAAAAACATATGTAGAAGAAAAGAGAAGGAATTTCAGAAGAGGACTTTGATAAGCAGACAACCATTGGATTTCTAGTGCCAAATTTAAATAATACATACATGTGTGTATTTTAAAAACCAAACTACAGGGGCAGCTAGGTGGTACAGTGGATAGAGTACTGGCCTTGGAGTTGGACCTGAGTTCAAATCTGGCCTTAGACACTTGACACTAGCTGTGTGACCTTGGGCAAGTCACTTAACCCCAAATGCCTCACCAAAAAACAACAAAACAAACAAAAACAACAAAAACCAAACTACATAATAGAAATTCATAGTGCCATATATAATCTTTTTTTGTTCTTCTTTTTCTAAGAAATTTTATTTTAGTGATGCTTGTAAAATTCACCATAATAAAATGTTTTAAAAATTAAAAATAAATCAAGAGAATAAGACAAAAAAGAAAAAAGATGGCTGTAGTGGATAATAATAGGCAGGATAGGACAGCTGAAAAAGTTAATGCTATCCAAAGTTGTATTAAGAGAGACATAATTTCCAGAGGTAATAATTCTATGATCTACTCTGCTCAGGCCACATCTTGAATATTATGTTCAATTCTGGACAACATGTTTTAGGAAAAACACAGACAAGTTGGAATATGTGCAGAAATGTGTGATCAAGATAGTGATAGGACTGGAGAACATGCCATGGGAGGAGTGATTAATGAACTGGGAATGCTTAGCATGGCAAAGAGAATTGGAATGGACATGACAGATGTATTCAAGTATTTGAAGAGTTATCATATGAAGAGACTATGCATTTTTTGCTTGGCCTCAGAAGATAGAAATAGAAGCAATGGATGACAGTTTCTGAGCAGACTTAGATGATGTGGAGAAAAAACAACTTCCTAATAATCAGAACTATCTAAAAACATAATGGGCTGCTCTCTTCAATGGATGTTTAAGGCAGAAAGTAGATGACCATGTCTTAAGAATGTTCTGGATGAGATTTTTAGTGAAATCCAAGCTCTCTTTTGATTCTTTGATTCTATGATTTTTTTTTTAATATAAGACAGACCATGTGTCTGTAGTTTATGGACCAGCCCTACCTAAGTCTGGAAAGACTCAGCTCACCACCAAAAGGTTAGCCACCAAGTGATGGCTGCTCTTAGGCCTCACTCAATTGTGAAATTACTAAGGCGAGGAGGGGTTTTGATTTGCATTAGTGGAGGGAATGTTTACTTGAATGAACTCATGGGTATTTCAAAATACTGAAGTAGATCCATAAGCTTAAGGTAACTGCCAGTTAGTGAGGGTATGTCACATTGAATTGTTGGAATGTGTCTTCCCCTGTCCACAACCCCAGTTCATCCATGGGTTCTACCTGAGATTGCATTCAATAGCTAGGGGAAGAGTACTGAGGCAGAGACTAGTTAAACTCATATTCTTCCTAACATCCTTTCTACATTGTTACATATCCTGAACACTTAAAATAGGTTAACTATGCAAAATGAAGGAGAAACCTTGACTGCTTATGAAGAGCACTTATTTATAATTACCGTAAAAGGAAATAAATGAGAAAGCGTCCCAAATTTTATTCTCATTTTTTTGGGCGGAGGTGCTTTAAGATGGGCTTCTTAGTTTTGTGTTTAGTAGCTGAACCTGGAAACATGACCTAATTGCTTTATTATGTAAATCTCTGTTCACTGCAATATAAGAAAGTAATAGTTTCATAATACAAGAATCACTGAATTTCAGAGTTGAAAGTTCTATTAAATGTCCTCTAGACCAAGCCACTGTCTTCTTGACACAAGTATCTTCTTCATCATCCCTGACAAATGGTTCTCTAGTGTACACATGGAAAACTTTCAGTGATGTGTAACTCACTACCTAGACAGGCAACTTATTGCATTTTTGGGCAGCTCTTTAAATTCATCTTTATGTTGTATCTTAAATTTTCGGAAGCCAAGCAAAATAACACACACCTGATCTATGTAAGGCCCTATATTCTAGTTATGGGGATTCAAAGTCTTTACTTTCTTTCACATGAAAGACTTCCAACTACAGACAGTTTCTGCTTTATGTAAGTTACCATTACTCATACCCCTATGCAAAACAATTTTTATGTAATGTGAATATGCCCAGGATGTGGGAAGGGAGGAAGGCAGAAAGAGGGAGGAAAGGGGCTGGCTCCAGTGGAGGGATGGGGCTGGCACATGGGTCAAGGACAAGTAGGGGCTGGGGACAGAGAAACAAGAGCAGGAGGAGGAAGACAAAGGGGGCTGGGGCCAGTCATGTGGGGGCCTGATTGGAACCAAGAGTAAGAAAGGGGTGGGGTGGGGAGATATGGGGAGGTCAGACACGGATATAGACAAGAGAGGACAGACAACATGGGGGGTCTGGGGACAGATATGTGGTACCTAAATGTGGACTGATGGAAGACAGACATATGAGGGCTGGGCTCACGAGCAGGTGTGTGGAGCAGGGGAAAGGTATCCTCTGTGTGTTGCCCTGGTGGCAGTCTTTTCATGTGTCTTTTTTTCTTTCACTTGGAGGCTTTTTTTTAGTTTTTTTTAAAGATTTTTTTTTGTGGGTACATGGGAGGCTGCTGAGCTGAGGGGAAAAAGAGAGAGAGAGAGAGAGAGAGCAAGAGAGTGCACAGTATTATACATTAAAGTTAACAGGTTTTTTTGGGGGGAGAGGAATGTGGATTTCTTTCAGAATTCTTTATGTAAATATGATTATATATGATTATGTAAATTATGTTGAATATGCGTAATGCAAATGTATGTAAAGTGAGAACTGTCTGTATTTGGAAATAACCTGTGAGTCTTTTTTTTTTTTTGTTTTCTCTATGCTAGACAGTAACAGTTTCCACTCTCATTCTGAATAGATGCTTTTAAGTGAAAGCCAAAGAAACAACTGAAAAGAAACTTCAGAGGCCTTAGGACCTCTATCTTATTGTAATACCACACATGACACCCTACATAAGTGGCAGCTAATATTCTTTTATAAGCCATCTGAGGAGTTCCAACTTTTAGACCCTGTGAGTCTATGAGATTCTACCGCTTTGATTGGCAACCCATTCTAATGTGATCTGTCCCTTTCCTTAATTTATGTCTGTATGTTAATTTCTGTTTGTAATAGGAATGAATTTTAGAAAAAAAAATCCTAGTTGGTAACTTAGCAAACTATTCAAGCATCATCTTGCCCTCTTTGCCTTTTGAAGTCCCCAGCCAATTATGCTGAAATACTGAAACTATAAGGAAAAAATGATGGTGCCTCAACTACCAATGTACCACTAGAGCAGAAGCAGAGTAAGACCTCAAATTCTTACCGCTGGAGCTGCTAGCAGTAGCATTAATCCACAGGTACAAGCCCGCTTTCCCAGCCTATCAGAAACCACACCTGCCAAGATTCCACCTGAAAAAAAGAGAAAAAGATAAGTGTGGCACATTGGTAGGACTGTGTGTTGTGCAACCCCCTTACATAGAGCAGCTAGGTGGCACAGTGGATAGGGCACAGGGCTTTGACTCAGGGAGACTTGAGTTCAAATTTGGCTTTAGACACATTAGCTGTGTGTTCCTAGGCAAGTCACTTAACTCCTATTTACCTCAGTTTCCTTATCTTTAAAATGGGGGTTATAATAATGCATACCTCTCAGGATTGTTGTGAGGATCAAGTGATGCCATAATTGTAGAGCGCTTAATGCGGTGCCTGACATACATTAAGTGCTATATAAATGTTAGCTATTATTATTAGCTATCATTGCAAGATTCAACAGGATCTGAGGTCTGACCATACTTATGTTTAGGTCACCCAATCACAACCTGCCACTTAAATCATTCTCTTGCTTGCTTTTAACCTTCTGAGATTTTTAATGATTGTTTCTTATTAATATATTTTCAATCTTGTTCTCATTGATTACATAATTAGCTCATGTCTCCCCATTCCAGTTCATTAAATAATCATATTTAGTTAAGCCAAAAAAAAATCCCATTAGTAATGCTTATATTTCTCCATAGCTAAATACGACACTTGTGGAATTTCTAAAATTTATTAATAAATAGCATCAATAAGAAAGCAAAGACATATATAATCATTCACATTATTTTGGCTTTGACCAGTGTCACAGATTGTATCACTTCAAACCCTCAACATAGCAGTATATACTCCTCTTCACTTGTCTGGAAACACAATCTCAAGTTCATTCATGATACCAAAGTACAAGTCTTACAAATCTTGAAAAAATATTTGTCCTGAAGATAAGGATTAAATTCAGTCTCTTAGAAAGTATGCCACAGGGGCAGCTAGGTGGCGCAGTGGATAGAGCACCGGCCCTGGGTTTAGGAGGACCTGAGTTCAAATCTGGCCTCAGACACATAACACTTACTAGCTGTGTGACCCTGGGAAAGTCACTTAACCCCATTGCCTAGCCAAAAAAAAAAAAGAAAGAAAGAAAGAAAAGAAAGTATGCCAGATTAGTCTTTGTGTAACCTAGGTTTGAAGCCATTTGCATAACACTCCTCATTGATAAAGAGAATGATGAATCAATGCTGTGTACCTACATGAGAGGCAGAGTTGGCACCAGAGCTTTAGAGAGGGAGACACATTCTTCTTGATTCCTGCTTCAAGAGAGGACACACATGGTTCCAGACCCTCTTCAGGGAGAAGACCCATGGAGACAAAGAACCTATAGGGGAAAACAGCTTCTCAACATTTCCCTAATTTCTAGCTTTCTCCCTAGAGACTTTTGGAGAATTTGCCCTTGGATAAAATAGGGTCCTCTCTCTATTGGTTAAGCTATGATATCTTCCTCCCAGAGGGGGAGCTCATTCACTCTGTATTGTCTGGTACATTCTAATCTGTATAATTTTTAGATTTTCTATTTTTATCTGCTTGGATAAATGAGTATAGTAATCCACTATTTGTGATGGTCTTTTGTGTAACTAGCATATGGTGGGAAGGAATCAAGCCTGCAGATATAAGGTTTGGGGTTCCCCTTCCCCTATAAGAAACATCAACCAGCAAAATAGCTTGGACCTAAACAAAAATTCCCCTTGACTAGCAATATTTAGGTGAAGTTCTGAAGATAAATGAAATTTTAGCTTAATTGGTGGTGCAGCAGATAGATTACTGCTCTCGGAGCCAGGAAGCCTTAAGTTCAAACCTGGTCTCACATACTTACATGCTATAAAACACTGGGCAAGTCATTTAACCTCTATCTCAACTATAAAATGGGGATAATAGCACCTATGTTTCATGGTTGTTTGTAAGGATAAAATGAGACAGTATGTGTAAAAGCACTTAACAGCACAATGCCTGGCACATAGTGGGTACCATATAAAAGGTTATTTCCTTCTTACCTTCTCTCTAGTACCCTTCCCTCTTAGGGAAGAACAGAGCAGGCAGACTTATAGCCCTTTCTTCTGATCCTTGTAGGCAGGAATCAAAGTCTTTCCAGAGCTATCTCTCTATGTCTCCTCATTAGCTGCATTTAGAAAACTCTTGTACCTAGTTTATTTGGGCAATACACACGGCCCCTATACTTGCCCTCTCTTCAGGCATCACAGGACGTAATCTCGCCAAAATACATTATACTTGCCAGCCTCTCAAAACTCTTCGTATAATTCTTATTAGTTTATAAGGTTTCTTGATAACATAGCTCTTGTGAAGTTTCCCATTAGCTCCTTCCAATCTGAGTTCTCCACAGACTCCTCATAGATCTTCATGGATTTCTCCCTCCCCTCACAATATTAATTCTCTCCCTGTCTAATGGTTTCTAAAATAGATTTTTTTTGCCTATAAACATGATCAAGCTTTCTCCTCCTTTAAAAGACTGTCATTTGTTCCTATCATCTATGCTAGTTATTGTTTTATCTCTCTCTTTTTTCTCAGTTAAACTTGAAAAAGCTGTCTACCTTTGCTGTCTCCACTTTCTCCTCTCACTCTTTGGCTTCATCATTCAATTGAAACTTCTCTCTACAAAGTTACCAGTGATGTTTTTAATTGTCAAATCCAATGGCCTTTTCTCAATCCTTATCTTTCTTAACCTTTCTATAGCATTTGACACTACTTACCATTTTTTCCTCACGGATATTTTATCCTCCCTGGCTTTTTGTGATGTCACTCTTTCTCTGTTCTCCTTCTACCAATCTCACTTGTCTTCTCAGCCTTTGCTGGATTTTCATTTATATTATTCCTACCAACAGTGAAAGACTTTGCCCTGGGTCCTCTCTATAATGTCTCACTTGGTGATCTCATCAGTTTCCATGGTTCACCTCTCATCTCAACTCAGATCTGATCCATATGTTCATATTTCCATCTTAGTCTTTCTCTTAAGCTATAATCCCAAAACACTAACTGCTTTTTGGACATTTTGAATTGGACATCCCATTGCTAATGCATACTTAACATGTTTAAAATGGCACTCATCTTTTCTTTATAACCCAACCCCTTCCAAACTTCCCACTCATTGTCATGATTACAACCATATTTCTATTCACCCATATTCACAACCTGAGTGTCATCCTTAACTCTTTATTCTTATTAACACCCCATATGTAATGAGTTGATGAAATTTGTTATTTCTTTCTCAACAACAAGCCTCCTATACATCCTCTTCTCTCTATTCAAAGATCCTTCACCATAGTTTAGACCCTCATAATTTCTCACCTGACTGATTACAAGAGTGCCCTAATGTAAATCTCTAACTCAAACCGTTCCCCACTCCAATCTTTTCTCCACATGGCTTCTAAAATGCTTTTTTTGTAAAGCATGAATCCAACCATGTTACTGTCCCATTCAATAACTCCACTGACTCCTTATTACCTCTAGAATGAAACATAAATTTCTATTTAGCATTTAAAATTCTTTGCAACCTAGAAGTCCTTTAAGACATTACTCCTCTACATACACTCTATACTCCAGCAATATAGTTATGGCCTACTTGTTCCTCAAACACAATACTCTATGCCCCATTCAAATGCCTTTGCACAAGGTGTCCTCCATGCCCCTCCTCCTCTTAGAATCCTTACATTCCTTTAAAAATCAGTGCTACATTCTGTAGGTGGCCTTAGTTCTCATAGCTGCTAGTACCTTACCCTCTAGGTTTACCTGGTACCTACTTTGTATGTGTTTTGCAAATACATATATCCATATCCATATATTTATACCTAATGGGAATTGGGACTGGACTTGTGATTTCATTGATATAGGAAACTCCCAGATGAGGGAACTCTTTTAACCATTGCAGGCTACTATCATCTCTGGAATTTATAATCTTAGTAAGTTATATAGAGCCCTGAGACATTAAATGACTTACCTAGGGTCATAGCCAGTATGTGTCAGTTCACAAAAATGGTTGTAGAACACTTGTGTCTGATAGCAAAAATCATACCCTTGTGACCCTTGCCTGTAGTTGAGGTAGAGGAATAAATCATGGGAGTTGAGTAAATTGGAGAACAAGAAGATTAGGGTACTTGAGGAAACATCAATGTATATGTCAAAGTCCCCTTGTATTAGGGCAGGAGTTGGTGGAGTGGTCATGGAGACAGACTGTCAATCATGCACCAAACTCATTGAGAAAAGAAGGCAAATGTCCTGGCCATTGGTAATGAAAGTCCATCAGGATTTGTAATGGTTGATCAATTTGGATAGAATGAAACTCAAAGGAGAAGTTGCTGAGTGATGATGGTAGAGAAAATCTGAAAGGGGCAAAGAGCAAAGATTATTCCAACTACCCCCACCATGACCAATGAGTTAGGTGCAACCAATACTGGAAAGGATGACCAGGGTTGCAGGTTTATTAATCCTGGAAGATTTGAATTCAAGTTCACTTATACTGGCTGTGACTCCTGTGCTAGTCATTTACCTTCCCAGTACTCCAGGCAACTCTAAGACAACAAGCTACAGAATAGCTATAGATCTGCCTTGGTAGCAGACATTCTCACTTGGAGTTCCCATATAAATGAAATCACCAATCATTCACTCACAAAAAATGGATTATGATGAAGAGCTTAATAACAATTCTACTGTCCAAGGAGGAGAGGTGAGTAAATGATCAGAGGAACGAAACCAAAAGAGCTTATATTTTCTTGCACATGTTAAGGAAGCTAGATGCCCAAAGCCTAGAAGACCCAAGTTCAAATCCAGCCTCTGACACTTACTAGCTATGTGATCCTGGGCAAGTCACTTAACCTCTGTTTGCACTGGTTTCCTTAGTTGTAAAATAGGGATAATAACAGTATTTCCCACAGTTATTGTCAGTATAAAATGAGATAATCATAAAGTACTTTGCAAACCTTAAAACACTTAACAAATGCTAGCTATTATTATATAGTAGGTGCTTAATCTTTGTTGAGTGAATTAATGAATGATTTAATGTAGAATACATGTAGAGGTGATATGAGAAGTGTGTAGATTAAGGAAAAAAAGAGGTGCTAAGAAGTCCATCACATTAAAATACGATTTTTCTTCATTACTACATGGATATTTTCCATTATATAGTTACAGTTGTATTCCGAAGATACTCAAGTATCTTCAAAGTATCAAACCTATAGGATGGCAGAAATTCAGGTGTTCTAAAGGGGGAAAGTCAAAGTGCAGGGAAGGAATTCTTCTGGGGAAATGATTATCACTGAACTGTTAAATGACATAAAGGGAATCAACTTTTTTTTTCTTTTTAAATAAGACAGTATGATAGTAATACCCGTTATCCACAGGTTAGGATACCCAAATCCAGAATGAAGTAGAAGAAAAAGTCCCTGAAATTATTTTCAAAAATCTTCCAGATTTTACTCCTTAAACCCTTACTTAGGACTTAATTAACTTTTATGAAGCATATACTTCTTTTTAACTGATGAGTTTTGTTTTGACAGTGCAGATATATAAAAAAAAAATACCTCATTACCCACTCCTCTTCTAAGTATATTCACGGAAAAAAATTATATAAAACCACTCGGTAATCTAAAAGCATGCAATTCTTACCAAAGACAGATTCTCAGTACATTTCCAGCCAATGACAACTTACAGTCATAAAGAACAGGCCTAGAGAACTGAGAGGTTAAATGAATTGCCCAGCCATATAGCCACTATGTATTAGAGATAGGGCTTAAATCCAAGTATTCCTGGCTCCTAAACCAACTCTCTCCACAACATTATATTGCCTCTGTAACATGAGATAATGCAGAGTTGTGCCGGTGATGGAGGGCCCTTAATATCATGCAAAGAAGTGTTAATTTTACTTGGTAGGCAATTGGAGACCACTAAATAGTTTGAACAGAAGTAGCATGACCATATCTAAGGAATTAGAAAAATTAATCTGGTAGCAACTTGAAAATTGGATTGTTGATACTGGATAAATCAAGTCATATGCAGTTTCTAAGAAGTGGAAGAAAAACTACAACCCAAAATAAAACAATTGCACTGGAGCAGTGATATCAAACTCAAATGGAATTGGGTTCACTGAACTATACATAAGGATGCCCGAGGGCCACAAGTTGACTTAGCTTTAAAATGTAATATTATCTGTGTTTTATTGTATTTTTATTTATTTTGTTAAATATTTCCTGATTACATTTTGATCTGGTTCAGGCCGTACTCAGGAGTGTTGTAGGTCTTCAAGTGTTTGACATCTCTGTTTAGGGGTACTAATAGTATAATATTTTTATTTTTACCTAGAATGTCATTAAAAAAAAAGTGGATTTGTGATCCCTCTACACAAGGGAAAAAAACAACAACCCATCTCCCTCCATCTATTCCCAACTGCCTTCTGTTATTCTTTCCTTTTTTACTTCCATTTTTATTTTTTCTACTAAACTTACTGGCTAGATACTCAACCACAGTTGATGTTTATGTCAAGATACAATAAAAATATGGCTTCTGAGAACTGGAAAGGGTTTTTTAGATCATTTAATCCAATCTCCTCATTTGGTAGATGAGGAAAATGAGGTGATGAATTGCCTATGTTCACGCTACTAGTTAGTGGCAAAGAGGAGTAAGAACCTATCTCTCAACTCCCAGTTGAGTGTTATGTTATACCTAGCCACTTTCTTCTGAAGACATATGAGGATAAAGTAGATTAGGTCTTATATTCTGAGGTGGTAGGACACTCAGAGTTGGTTTAGATGTATGTTGAATGGAAACTGCTCTTAACTTTGGAAAAACATTTATTCTCATGTATATAAATCCTCAGAACAGACTAGGCATGAGTATTAAAATATTTGTCCTAGTGGAACTTGGAATGAAACATTTTTAAAGCACAGGAAATCTTATGCCCACCTTCATTTCTCAGTTCCAAGAAACCCTATAGAAAAATCAACCCCAAGACTATCTGAGTACTTTCTGATACAACCAGATTAAGATACTGGTTCAACAGTACAGGATCTTAAGAAAAATATTCACCCCTTTATATTAAAACCAACACAAAAAGAGAGACCATAAAATGTCTGCTAGCCATCTGTCCAAATAGGGGGAAAAAACTAACAAACTTACCAATGATTCCTCCAACATCAAACAAAGTGGAGAGATCCCCAGCTTTTTTGGCATCAAAATGATCTAGTTAAGTGATAAATAGAACATATGATTAATGTCATGACTTTCTTCCAAAAATCAAGAGGTAAAGTCATAAGAAGGGAGTCTTTAAAAACACACACACAGTAGTTAGAGCTATGTGTATTTTCTTGCTTTACAAGCATAATGTTGAAAATAAGACTATATTTTTTATCTTGATATCTTGACTTAATCAAGATTGCATCTTTACTAAAACTACCAGTCTAAATCACAACAATTTTTAAAAATGTATATTGTTCTTGGAGGTGTGGAATCAAAGTCAATTACTACAAACAACACTAACCAAGGGAATAGCTCAATTATTACCCTGTTCTCAAGGGCTAGTCTCATGGTGCCTGAATTATTAAATATTTAGTATAACAGATTCACACTGAGAGGTTCTAGCAATGCCCTTTATGCTGAGACCAGGAATCAGACGCATCCTAATTCCAAATTGATGTTGTATCTGAATGACAAATGTCTTAAGAAAGAAAAACATTTCAACTTCTAGCAAAATAGATACTTACCTACATTTGTGATATAGAGTGGCAGCCAAAACAGAAAAGTGTAGCTGACCAGCTTGGCAAACAATAAACAAAGAGAAAACTCTATGACTCCCTGAAAAACAGAGAAAACTAATGGTATTTTTTTTATCTTGCATTTTCAGCAGCTTTATGTAAATGTACCAAGTAACATTTTATTTTCCTCCTTTAATAATTTCTTCCGGGGTTTGGTTTTGAAAGCACTTGATCTATAAATCAAAATATAATACATCCAAAATATAGCATAATCTATCCCAAGAACTGGGCCAATCAAAGGATAATATATACTTGGCACAGAGCTAGTTGCTATTTTTAAGGGCCCAATCCCAATATTATTATAGAAGAGTATAAGCCTGATTTTCATTTCAACTAACTAACTCTATGAAAACTTGGCTATCATTAAAATTTCTATAATCTTTATTTATTGAGAATCAAGTCTATTTATTATGTGTTCAATGGACATTCTATTTTAGTCTTGAATTATTTGAGCAGTTAATTGAATTATTTGAACAATTAATCCCTGACCCTTCTATTATCTTGCTAACAGCTTATCACTATCCCCCTTCACTGCCAAACTTGCTAAATTTTTTTTTCTATACCTGATAGCTCCATGTCTTCCACCCCCTGAAATCTGGCTTTTGCTGTGACTACTAACTGAAAATGCTCCCTCAGATGTCATCACAGGTCATATTCTGATTTAAGGCTTATTTCTAATACATAGTGGCTTCATGACAGGGCAATTCATTTAACCTCTCAGTGCTCCAGGCAGCTCTCTATAGCTATAAGTTACAGAGGAGGTACTGACTTGCACTGGTTGAGGGGATTTCCTCGTCTAGATTTCCATATTCCAATGAAATCAGAGGTCTGATCCTATCTCATATTACTTCCCTTCATACTCGCAATATTCCAGTAAATCATAAAATTCTCTTTCCTAAGAATATGTTTTTGCTAAGGCTATTCCTTTATGTCTGTAATATCCTATCTCTCCTTTGCTTATTGAACTCCTACTCATGCTTTAAGGCCTAGCCTAAATGCTACCTTCTCTATAAATCCACTACTGGTTGCCTCCTACCTTCTCCTTCAAACATTATATAAAACTTCACTTTTTACATTTAAAGTACATTTATCTTATAATACTGTATGTTACAGTTTTACTATTTGTGTCTTATTCTCTTGCTAAACTATAAGCTTCATGAAGGCAGTGAGTATGGCTTCTCTAGAGTTTGTATCTCCCCGATGCCTAACAGTGCTTTGTGTATAATATAGTCCTAATAAAAATTCTCTGAATGAATTATGACTAAAAAAAATCACACATATAAACAATCTTCTCCTCTCCCTGATAAGACCTAAATTCTTACCCCTGTATAGCTTTATACAGGGTAACTGGGGCTATTCGCCAGATAGCCTAGATATGGGGTAAATAAAAGACCTATAGATAGTTGTCTAGGTATTGAAAGATAAATGCTGATATACAGAATATATATATGCATATATGTATATGTTTAAAAGCCATCTATAAGTGCTTTGTTATTTAATTTACTTATTTCACATCATTCCCCTTCACACAGTCTAGGTTTTAGTCTAACTGAACCACTAGCTATTCCTCAAACTTGACTGCAATCTCCTGCTTCTATACCCGTGTACAGACTCAGCTCTCATATTTGTAATGCTTGTCTTCCTCATTCCCACCTTTAAAAGCCTTATTTTCCTTTAAGGGTCAGCTCAAATGTGGTCTTCTACATATCTTTTTCTGGTCCCAATAGCTGAAGGTGTTTTCTATCTTCAACTATTCTTTGAGCACTTTGCTTATATTTTCTTTGTCTCATTTGCTATCTCGTATTCATCTGTACATGTCATAATATGCCCAGTCAACTATAAGCTCTTCAAACAGAATCTCTGCCCTCTCCCTAAACCTAGCACCTTCCTGCTAGGCTTAGTGCTTAGGCACCTAGTGCCTAGCATAAAGGAAGTACTCAATAAATATTTATAAGGAAAATAGTCAAGAGATCTCTAGTTTCAAGTTGTCATGAACAGAATTTTCTGCTCTCAAACAGAATCTTGCATATGTTTTCCCAATCTGTGTTCATGCTTCCCCACATTTTGAATGTGTTAAGTTCCCACGGGGAAGGTTAGAACTTTTCTAAATATTATATAACATCTGTAGCACAAAACAAAGTCCTTTACCATCTAGTTGCTATTTTTGAAAAAGCATGTTAGCCCTCCATGTTTCATCTTTGTCTTTGCCCTGTTCCCCATCCTATAGTTTATAGTATTTGAATAGTATTTAAATTTCTTTTTATTGATCCCTGAAGTTTCTGTTGATCCAGTCAAATAACTTTAACAAATAAAAATCTAAGCCACCAGAAAGTCATTCTCTGGTATCTGAGTAACTCCCTTCCTCCCTATTCCCTTCCTTCCCATTCCTGGAGCTCCTCAATATGCACAAGGCAAAAAGTTACTAAGATTTAAAAAAGAATCCTGCTTTGCCTCATCATTCCACTCCATTCCTCACATGTTTCTACTGGAATTTTCTGTACTTTGCTGATAGCTGGAACCCTGGACAAAGAATGCATGGCACATGATCAAGTGTACTGAGGGAATCTGAGAGTATTTATTAGTCTTCTATGCTTCCTAAAACATATCTATTATGGTTTCTTGCTTTATAACTTTTTTCTCTTTAAATTTATCCAGAACTTCACAGCTTCACACTCTTTTCATTAGTACACTAAGATGGCAAGGAAAAATAAGCTTGACAAATATAAAAACTGTTGAGAACTTAACAATTTAGGAATTTCTTCTAGTTGTTATTTAAACTAACACTTTCATGTTCTTTTTTAAACATTAATAAAATTAAATGCTTATCTATATATATTTGCACACATGTGGGTGTGTCTATATCTACCATGCCATGATATTCTAAATTGATGTTTCTTTGCTCTATGTAATTCATAAAATAAAATTTTTTTAAGTAGGACAATCAAACAAAACTGTTCGTCAATGTGCATTATAAAATGATATCATATAGGAGACACAAAGAATAGATTTTGACCCCTTTTAGAAAAATACTCACAGGTATTCTCAAGGCGCCTAAGAAACTGATTGCTGCCATCCCATTTCTTCCATCACCACGTAGCACTGTGACAAACTTTGGCGGAATTGTACCATTTTCACCGTCTGATAACAAACTCTGAATCTCTGGATCCTGTTTAGAAATCTAATTTAAAGAAGAAAGATTTTCTACTTAGTGGTTATCAAACACTGGTTCTATCATTAAAGTTCCCCCCAAATATTTCATTATGGTGTAGAGGTGACCCCTCCTTCTTAGAGACTTTTTGTGTGGAATTTAAAGGTTAGATTAGAAGGTTTTAATAGGTGGGAAGTTGAATATAAGTCTGGCAATAAATTGCATGTCCTGCAGCCTGCCTGAGTAGTGGGAATGCTCAGATTGGATTTAGTATAAACTGTTTTAGAAAATGTAAAAACACCAATGAATGGATCTTCTGAATACTAAAGCAAACACTGGCTAAGGAAGTAGCCCTTTCTGTATTAGAATACTTCTACAATGCTATGGATCTGTGATTTCATTGGTGTAGATACTCTCTCCAATCATGAAGATCACGACCCACACAAACACTTATCTTTTGAGTCCCTTGTCCATATCTTCCAGTAACTCCTCCATTAGGGTTCTACCCAATATGTTGGCAGTCTTCCTCTACTTGGCTTTGTGTGGGTACAAGCAGGATATATACTAGATACTTCTCCCTTTCACTGTGACTAACCCACTTCCTTTTCAGTCACACATTTATTAGGTAATATCTTTTACACTTCTTATTGAAATGATGCATCCAATTCTTTTCTATCAGGAATCTTTCTATTGCCCTTTGGTGACTTAACACTTCAGTTTTTTACAAACTGGTAGTCTATGCTTTGCAGCAATATAACATTACTGGGAAAACATGAACCTTTGTTTTAAAGAGAATCTTGACATCATTAGCTGATTTTCCAAATGCAATCTATTAATTTTTAAAAATTACAGTCTCAATTAATTTTCTGCCTACAGTATTATCCAAGATTTATGTACTCATAGAACATATCTGTGAGCTGTCCATTCCCTTGCACATCAAAGTTTAGAAAATGCACTTTCTTCACTCTTGGTTTTTGCCATCTGGGTAGTCAGGCAGAATTCTTTCGCACGACTATGGATTTGCCTTTGCAGTACTATGGGACTCGATGCAAGGTTTATCTGTTACTTCAAAGTCCGTTTGTAGGCTTTTCACTAATTATCTGGGAATACCTCCAAAACCATACCTCTTCCAAGCTTCCCTGTTTCAGTCAATGACATCATTATTCTTTCAGTTTCTCAAGTTTATAACCCAGGAATCATCCTCAACTCGTCACTTTCAGTCTGGCCTTCAGATGATTTCAGCACTTACCTAATTGGTCTCCATGCCTCAGGTCTTTTCCCACTCTAGTCTATCTTCCACACAGATGCCACAATGAGGATCCACAAGCACAGATTTGATCATTATCATTCCTCTTCTAAATAAAGTCCAGGGGCTTTCTATTGTCTCTCTAATTAAACACTAACTTCTTTGGTTAGCTCAATCAACTCTAGCTGCTTCCTATTTCCTCCAGTATCAAATATAAACTCCTCTGCTTAACTTTTAAAGCCCTTCCTAATCTGACTTCAGTCTATCTCAAGAGGCTCATTGTTTATTGTTCCCCAACTTATATTCATGATCCGGCCAATAGGACCTCTCTGTTTCTCAGATATGGCATTCCATCTACCGTCTCTGGGACTTTGCACTGTCTCCTATGATAGGAATACACTTTCCCCTCAAGGGATGCTCTCTACTGTCACGGAGCAAGTAAAACCTTCTATAGGAAAGTTTTCCTGATTCCTCCAACTGATGGGATCATACCTCCTTAGCTACTTTGTGTTGAACTACCTTGTACTTACTCTTTTTATATTCCTGACTTATGCATGTAGTTGTTCTTTCTTTGTTTGGAATGTAAGTTCCTTGGAGTAGGAATTGTTTCATTCTTGGTATTTGTATCCCCATGCCTAGCATGTAGTGAATGCTTAATAAATGCAGTGGTTGATTGAACTCCTTAGACAGTAGTCTCAAAATAGGACTCCAATTTTGCTCAATAGCTTTCTTTTCTTTTCTTTCTTTTTTTGTTGGACCTGTGATTTCATCATTCGAGAACTCCTAGAAAGCTGTAGAGAACTCCTGCTACTAGTGTATAATGTTAGTTATTACGTAAGTTATTGTTTTAGAGAGTTTTCTAGAATGAGAGGTTGTGGTTGGTATAGTGTCATAGCCCATGAATCAGACTCTCTGAGGGAGCGGCTAGGTGGTGCAGTGAATAGAGCACTGGTGTTGGACTCAGGAGGACCTGAGTTCAAATCTGACCTCAGACAACTGACACTAGCTCTATAAGTTACTTAACCCCATTGCTCAGCAAAAAAATAAAAATAAAAAAAGACTATCCACGTAGTGCTACGCTGCCTCTGATAATCTTATGTAATTATCTTTATGAAATATTTATTACAAATAACCAGTCCTTTAAACCATAAGTTATGTATATTTAGTTGAATATACATTTATTAAGACCCTACCATGTGCAAATCACTATGTTAGGATACAAGGATAAATAAGATATGGCCTCTAACCTTAAGGATAGAAGCATAAATATAAAATATGAGTGCCTAAGAGATATAAAATATTATGAAATATTTGAGCATGCTAAAGATGACTCCTAGCTATAGGGGGTCAGACAGTTGTTTTTTTTTAAGAGAGATTATGCAGCTGAACTGAATCTTCATCAGACTTTGGGCTAAATACAGGGGTGGGGAACCTGAGGCCTTGAAGCCGTATATGGTCTTCTAGGTCCTTGGGTGTGGCCTTTTGACTGAGTCCAAGTTTTACAGAACAAATCCTTTTATTTAGGGGATTTGTTCTGTGAAGTTTGGATTCAGTCAAAGGGCTGCACTTGAGGACCTGAAAGGCCACATGTCGCCTCGAGGTCACAGGTTCCCTACCCCTGCTAGAACAACTTACCTTTTAAGTGTTCATCCAAATATACAGGTAATATTAGCACTAGTCTATTAGTTAAATAAAGCAGAAATCTTAAGCAAGAATTCAAAAATTAACTGTCAATATCTTGACTATTAGATTTTTACTACTAATAATTATCTAAATCCTTAATTTATACTTGCTGTCTCCCAGACTTATAATCATGTGGCATTTGTATGCTTTAGGAATTCTGTCACTTGATCACTTTAACTCATGATTATTAGAATTTATATTGGTTTTTTTATAGGTACAATTCATAAAGCAGGCATTCAATAAATATTTGTTGGTTGAATAGCTCCATATATAGGGAACCTTTGCAAGGCAACCAGCATAAAAAACAATGAAAGATCATTACAAGTAAAGCGAATCTTCCTGGTCTACAAGGGAAGAGCAACATATGTATGGCAGGCAAGAAAAGCCAAGAATAAGGTTAGGAAGCTGAGAGACAAAAGGAAAAGGTGAAAGATGGAAAAGTGGCACTTTCTGACTAGGGGGTGGGAAAGAGGTGAGGCCTAAGACAAGACCAGTAACACTGAACAGACACAAAACTTTGTTTGTATTTCAAAAGGTGTGATTTTGCCAACCCCCTTGCTGACTCACCATCCTTGGTGACCACATGGACCAAAGATGAACCTATGTCAAACTCAGCAGTAAATCATGGAAACTTCACTCATCTCCTACTGTAAGTCCCTAAGTAGAAAGGGTCTCAAGGTACATGTCTTTGTGATTTGCTATGGTCAAAGAAATCAATCATTACCTGGTGACCAATTTTGTGGTAATTAACCTCTCTGAATTTAGTAATGGTGTCAATCTATTGCTGAGCCTACACTCAAAGTTCTTCTAGCACCTGCCAGAGTTTGAAATTAAAAATCCAAGGTCTCTCTCTCTCTCTCTTTCACACACACACACACATACACACGTGTATATATACATATATGTGTATATGTGTGTGTGCCTATGCTGCATTAAAGCATTGTAGCAGAATGTGGAAATAATACATAATGGAGACAGCAGAAAAATGATGATTCAGTAAAACACAGAGAATCTAGATAATATGGACATCACTAGGGTACCCAGCATTCACTTTTGTCCTAAAATTCCCAAGGACAGAGCAACATTAGTAGTCCTTACTTACAAACTAGAAGTCAGAATAGGATTTCAAAACAGTACATGAAGGTCATCATTTGTAATTTAAGTAGTGGCTAAATGAGTATAAACTAAAGTTAATATTCATTTCAAATTTTTAAAAAAAATCTTTATTTTTGCATTTCAGTATTTTTTACTAATTTAGAATGAAAAAAAACAAACAAACCCCAAACATATTAAGAGTCACATAAAGCAGTGCAAACAGAGGTCCAAAATATAGCACTATTTAGGAGATTTAACAGGTCTACCTATTTCTTCTTTAAAGAAGACAGAAAACTGTGTTCCAGTTTTTCCAGTTCCAGGTAAATTAGTTATATTCTTACAGTTCCTAAAAATCATAATAATCTATCAGGTGTTATTTTAAATAGCTTTATAATAGATATTATGGTAATATTTAAGTGTATTATAAAGAAACATCTATCCTTAGTATTAAATAAAGCAGTAACAGCCAAAGTTCCAACTCTCATCTTTAGTATTAGGTTTTTTCCCCTTGAAATCTAACCAACTGATTAAAATGTTGAAATATTTGGTAATCAGGATCACTTTCAGATACAAATCACCACCAACACTCTCTTCAGATCCCAGTTTCAGAATGTGCAGTAGCCATTACACTTAAATTTCCTTTACAGATGGAATATTTGCATGTATAAATACAGGCTTGTTAAGTTTATAAATCCTTTTCAAGCTTCCCACTTAAATGAAAACACAGGATGAAAACAGACTAGAGTAAGCAGAATTAAAAGCTACTAGCAAAACCAGATGAAAACATTTTAGAACTGCAAATATACTTTGGGCCAGAGTTGTCAAACAATGCAGCCCAAACTAATTTAAAGTGTAACTGGAACATATTAAACTCAATAAAAACACAATAATCAGTGATAATACTATATTTTAAAATGAAGTCACTATGCAGCCAGCAGGGTTCCTTATATATGGTTTCTAATTTAGTTTGACACCACTATTTAAAATACTTGGTTTTTAACCCAGCATTTAAAGAAATCTTATAGCCTTATCTGGTTCCCCGACCACAGATAAACTCTGTTCTTTCTACTGTATATAGTACTTTTGTATATTGTGAGAAAATGATTTGTGATATTGTTTGGGAAAAATTATTATACTTTTTAAATAAAATTCTATGTGATTAAGGATTGTCCATACCCAGAATATTACCTGACCCCAGTAACTCTCTAGGAATGCTGGAGATGGCTACGAGGTATTTTGGGTTCTCCCAGGTCCTACATCTACCCAAAATATTTTTGTTTTCGATCTCTACACATAGGTCTTGTTAGGGATCCACCCAAGCTTGTGTTTTGGATTGCTTTGTGCTTTGATTTTGCCCAAATTTTATTAATGTTTTCAGTCACTCATATCTATCTCAATCTACCTAGCTTTCAAGTTGCCCTCTCAACAAAATTGTTTGTGTTCTTGTGGTTTTATGGTTGATATACAGATACCTTTGTCTAAATCCTTTGTAATGTAAACCTTCTAAAACCTAGACAAGAGGGAGTCACACTTCTTTTCTGAGTAGCTCTCCTCTACCAAACAACCTAATAAATTTCTTCCTAAAACTATTAGAGATTTTGGGGTTTGTTCTTGCAAACAACAATTTCTATTAGGGAACTTACCATATTCTGTCCTGTGTTTCTTGATATGATACTTGTCTTATCCCCCTTACAATATCTTGTAAACTTTTTGAGGACAAGAATATTCTTTCCTCAACTTGGATCTTTTTCCTAGAACCTGAACTGAGTGCGTAGTGACAGGAGCATGGTAGGCACTAAATAGATATCTGTTGAATTAAAAACTTCATTCTGCCAAATAAATATGGTGTGTCTCACTTAGAAATTGATTTATCAGTTATGGATTTGGTACAGACTAGCTGTAGGGCAGTGAGAAAATAAGTGATTCTATGAAAATGCCCTTACTTTATGACTTACCAAATTTTTACTACTTTCCTTGGTGTACAGAATTTGTTTTTGCACTCTGAATCTGTTAGTACCATTCTCATAGCCTTTTGAGCTCTGAAAAACAAAACAAAACAAAACATTGCATTCTACATGTTAAAAAAACAATTCTTGAACCAACAAACAAAATTCAAGCCAAACTCACTCTTTTTACAAAGGGATACAATGGAGAATAATTTCAGAACATTCTAAAAGACCTGTAATATAAATATATGGCCATGAACAGAAAAGAGAATTTAAAATTTGTCTGGGTGTATTGGAGAGGATGGGGAGAGTAGTAAGAGTCAGTTAACATTATTTTATTTCAATAGATGAGTCATCAAATTGATATAGGTGCTCCTGACATTGCTGTAGATTACCATTCTTCCACACACCCTCTTAAGCTTCATGTCTCTTGTTCATGTTGTCCCATATATACTTCACAGTAGATCTGTCCAATATGCCAAGACTTCCTCTAGATCTATTTCTATTTGTACATAGTAGTGCAATGCTTGGTCTGTTCATCTGTAATCCTTCACTCTTGCAATATGGATTGCCTCTTTTCCCAGTCATATATTTTCTTTAAAAATTTTTTTATTATAAACTTACTGCCTACCAACCATAAAACAACCAAATGAACATATATTACTTGGGTCAAAATCTTACTGAAAACTCTTAACTTTTAACAAGGCAAAATCAAATGGGTTAACAAATTCTCCACAAATTCATTTAGTTTCCAAGGACCACTTGCTATATTCCATCTTTGATGTCCTAGTTTGGATTAGTACCCACAGTCACATCTCTAACCATCTCCTCCCACTCCCATCCCATGATACTTTGCCAGACCAAGACAAATGACATATAAAACTAGAACAAAAAGCATTTAATAAAAAGAAAGTGCAAAGTAAATAAAAGTGTATTGAATCAAATTGTAAATATTTTCCAATTTATCCCTTGATCTGACACATATAACTGAGCTATGTTACTCTAAACTCATGGCACCAGTGTTAGACATTGGAGTTTAAAAGTTTCTTTTCATAGTCACTTCCCTTTCTCCCTTGGTACAGTAATAACAAAGTGTTAAAAACCCTGGGAACCAAAACTTATGTCTTTCTCCTCCATTTCAGTCCATGTCAGCTTGGCTTTTCCAGACTATGTTTTTGTCCTTAGCACCCACCAATCATACACTTTCTAAGTAATACCTTTTATGTCACTTTCCTGTAGGTTATTATTAAAAATATGTTACCTTCTATTTACAAGGTAAGTACCTTGTGTCTCACCATTTGTCTTTTGGGCCAAACACTATTTTTATATTTTGAAGAGTGTCATGTCCCAAGATTCACAACCAACCATGTAGCATAACTGTGAGAATAGTTATGTTAAAGCCATGAAACTATGAAACTCCCTGTTTTTAGTCTCTCCACTCTCTAATCTGTCTTTCAAAAGTTTCAAAAATAATCTTCCAAAGGCAGTGTTCTGATCACATCACTTTCCTGCCTGAAAGTCTCCAGTGACTTTCTATTGCTTTCAGTAGTTTCCTGCCTGGCATTTAAGGCACCCTATAAACTGGTTGTACCTTATTTCATACTACCGCCCTTCATACAATCTATATTCTTGCCAAATTGGACTACTTGAAATTGTTCATACTCAATACTTCATATTCTATCTCTCTCTGTACATTTGGATAAGCCATTCCTTATCTTGGGATGGACCCCTTCTTCATCCCCACCTCTTACAATCCTTATCTTCCTTCAGGGTTCAACTCAGGTAACCTATTCAATCAAGCATTCTTCAGTCCCCTAGTTCTTAGTTCTTTCTCTCCTCATTTTACCTTGTATTATACTTATTTGTGTACATGTCTCCCTCTAGTAGAATGTAAGCTCCATGAGGGTATGGGTTTTTCTTTTTTTTTGTCTTCATCTCTAGAGTGTCTCACATAGTGCTTTGCACATAGGAGAAACTTAATAAAGGTTGATTTAATGGAGTTGAAAGATACTTTTTATGTTCTTGGAAATAACTTATAACTGTGGAAAGCTTTATAAAATTTCTTTTCTTTTCTTTTTTTTTTCTGGACTGGGTCTCCCTATCTCACCCAGGTTGTAAGTGCAACAGTCCACTTATGGACCTGACTTTACTATTAATTGACATGAAAGTTTTGATCTGCTCTGTTTCTGACCTGTATCAGTTTGCTCTTCCTTAGGTAGCATGATCCCTCTGATCCATAGGGGTCAACATATTTGAAGCTGGACTTAGTGTAAACATCTGTCAGCTAATGTAGCTCAAAACTTCTGAAAGCAAGTAATCTACTAATCTTAGCCTCCCCTAGTAGCAGGGATTTCAAGCAATGCAATCTAGCCTACTCTCTTCTTCTCTCTCAATTATGAGTTTTGTGGTCTGTCTTTAGTGCTTGTCTCATATATATTTGCTGAGGTATTCAACTCAAAGGACAATCTATCAACTGCATCATAAGGTCTAAAAAATTGAGAATCTTTAACTATTTATTTCCTTGTAGTGTTTGAATCATTGATTTTTGTTGTTCAGTTTTTTCAGTTGAGTCCAACTCTTTGTGACTGACTACTCTTCCTTTTTTATTTTTTCAAATGTATATTGTTGTGTACCGAATTCTCAAAAAATTCAATGAGATGAGAAATTTGGTCTGTTTTAATTGTTCATAGCTTTTAGGTAGTTGCTGAAGACCTTTTGATTGCATTTCTTGAGTAATAATATTATTTTTGATTCCTTTCCCCATCTATCTTTACTTTCTTTTATTATTTGACATAAAAGTGTTTGTCTTGGAAGAGCAAAATGTGTCCTTAAAATGTTCTTCCAACAAGGAGTCTCTCAGGCATTTATTAAGATCATACAAGAACGCTTGATAAATACAATCAGAGGTTAACTATTTAGTAATTCCTTGATTAAAATCAAGGAAGGTTTGAGGCAGTCCCCAAACCCAGGTCTTCCTGGGGTGGAGGCCAGATGGCTAACCATCATGTAACAATACCTATTACTGTATATACTGTTTAAAGAGAGGCACCATGTTATAGTGGAAAGAGTGTAGAACTTCAGATCAGGAGAGTCCTGGTGTCCCTAAAAGCAGTGTGGCTATTCCTTTTCACCTGGCAAATAATTCAAGTAGTTGCTGCTTAAGATGTTGCCTCAGATGTTTTAAAACTAATATTACAGATGTGGCATGGGAAATTTTCCCTGAACCATTACCTCTTGTCAGAAAGCAATTCCTCCTGTAATTTCAGAGAAAAGTAAAATATCAGACATGAAAGAGAGCCTCTTCTAATGCCCTATTACAATAATCAAATCATTTAAGGCCTACAAACAATATAATGGCCCCTAACCTCCATATGCTTTGCTCCATTTTAGATGGAAAATTAGGCATATAGTCAGATTTGCTCTGAATCCCCAGTTAGGAAAGTTCCTAACATTCATATACAAGTTTTGCTTTCTGCTTTCATTTTCATTTATCTCTCCCTCTAGTTAATACCTGCTCTCTTTATGGCTGAAGCAAAATTCAGGTTACTAGAAACATTTGGGCAACAAAGCAGCAGATTATATTATAGTTTCTATTGATAGACATGTGTCATGGGGAGAGTTAGGGGTAGAGCAATCCTTTTCTAGGAACTTCCCTCAATCCTTTGGTAGAATCATTCCAAGTCTTCTGCTCTGAGATGCTTATAGGACCTATGACCTTCCTTGATATCTCTCTTTTTTGACACAGTTCGCTCTTACCTTCCCTTTCTTCTTCCACTAGTTGTCTCTGGGTTCTTTCTGCTGAGTCCAGATTTCCTCCATTACGTCCTTTCCATTTCTAGACCTTCAGAATCTCCCTAGTTCTGAAATAGCTCCCCTTTTTATATAAATCCATCAGGGCATGACCAAGTCCCTAGATTCAAGATGGGGGTACTGGCCCTATTTGCATTCAGTTCTGACTGAATCAATCAAAGAATGTTCTTACCTAACAAAGACAAGTACTTTTAACTTGAGTAAAGTATTTGATGGTGTCCTGCTCTTGTGATCTCATTTTCTAGATGAAGAAACTGAAGACTAAAGATCTACCTCCACATCTCTCACATATTTATCCTCCTCTCCACTCACCCAGACACTATTCTCATTAAAGCCTTCATCACTTCTCATTTGAACTATTGAACTAGCTTCTAATTCAGCATCCTTGCTTCAAGCCTCTCCCCACTCTACATAAGTGTCAGGTAGAGTGGTTTTTCCTAAAGTGCAGATCTGTTTATAGCATACTTTGTTCAATAAGTTTCAGGCTTTAAGGATTATGTCATAAAATAATTACAAGACAAGTAGATGTTATACTTTTCATAGCCTTGGGTAGGAGAAAGGTAGAAAAAAACAACAACAAGCATTTGTTAAACACCTATAGTGTTTAACACTAGGAACCTAGGAACTGTGCTAAGTGCTTTACAAATATTATCTTATTTAATTCTTACAATAACCCTAGAAGAGTATTATAATTATAATATAATTATATATATATATATATATTACATATATATAATTATAATTATTATCTTTATTTTACAGGGGTTGAATCTGAACTCATCTCCTCAGTTCCAGGGTCAGCATTCTTAGCCAAACAAGGGATAAAGGCAAGCACAAAAAATAGCGTAAATCATTTTGATAACATGAACTTGAAAACAAAATTTATGCAACTAAGAAAAAAAGGCAAGTGAAAGGGAAGAGAAGGGAAAGAATCTTTATATCAAATATCTCTGATAAGGGTTTGGTATGCAAGATATATAGAAATTCAGAAATATGTAATTAGGCCAAAGGTTATTCCCTAATAGATTAGTGGTCAAAGGATATGAGAAAATAGCTCTAAAAAAGAATTTTACACTATTACCAATTATATAAATGATTGCTCCAGATGACTAATAATAAGGGAAATGCAAATCAATATAACCTTGAGGTTGTGCCAGTAAATTGGTTAAGATGACAAAAACGGGAAAGCTGCATGTGTTGAAAGACTAATGAATTGTTGCATTGTAAGCTGATACAAACATTCCAGAAAGCAATTTATAATTATGCAAATAAAGGCTGAAGTG